GCATTTACACTAATAATGTATGTAATTTTAATCCTATCATATCTTTTAAAAAATCAACAGAAGAATTAGCACTAATTTCTTAGCACTTACATGTTTCAAATCTATCTGTAGCAATAAAAACTAATATATTATATATATTTTTTCCTTCAGACTAATGCTGTGTTTTTTTAACTTAAACTCTTAACCTGCAGTATCAGTTGAATTAGACAAACCAGCATGATGAGCACCGAGTTTCTTTTGAATTGACTCCACAGGAAATCCCTCTGCCTGCGTTTGTTTTGATCAAACCCAACAACCTCTGGAGCGAGGAGGAGAAAACAATCTTCAAAGAATATGARAAGAAAACAAGCGACCTGAACGAGGAGAAGGACAAATACAAAAGGGTATTATAGATTACGCAATCATGTTTTTTGTTTTACACGTTTGTCACAGTTGTTTTGGTATAAACTGTTAATTCTGGGGTTTAACAGTCTTTGGAAAATGAAATAAGAAAACTGCAGAAATCCAACAAAGAAGCGACAGTAAGGTTTGATCAGATGCTGGCAACGCTGCTGGAGAAGAAAGTAGAATGCACGGCAGCTATTTACCAGGTGAGCATGAAGACGAGTATGCACAGAAATAAACTGCGTCTATGTTTTTTCATTATTAAAATGTATAAAAATGCCATTTGGTATATGTTTCACAGGAAGAGCTAAAGATCATCTACCTGGCTGAATCAGTGCTCACAGAAGAAGAGCTGAGAAAGTCAGAGCTGGAGCTCAAGCTCAGGCTTGAAAAGTTGCTGGAATACAAGGTTAGAAAAAGTGTTGATGGTTGTAACATTTCCGACTGCCAACTTTACTGTTTGACAAAAAAAAAATGGCAGCAGTGTTTGTGTGTGTGTGTGTGTGTGTGAGAGAGCTCAGCTGCATCGTTTTAACAGTGTGCATCAAGAGCATCTGTCAGTCCGACTGACGGCTCCTACTACCTGTTTATCTGACAGCAAGAAACCAGTAAAGAGGTGGTGAGATGTGAGCACGAGGTAAATCTATTCCGGGAGGCATATGAGAACCTCGTAGCGAAAGACAAAGTAAGCCAACTGACCAAACACTGAAAACATCACCGATTTGACAACAGATGCCTCTTAAGATCCCTGTCTCCAAAAGGTTCTCGACAAAGACTTCAGGAAGAGCTTTCCAGACGTACACAGCCAAATCGTGGACAAACTTTACAAACAGTTCAAACGCAGACCCAGGTTTGGTTTTCTTTCACGAGCACCTGCTGCCTGATAGACGTCGTGTTTTTGCTCCCGTCTTTGGTCTGACCGTTTTCTGCCCCAGAGTTCAAGCGATGAGGGCCCAGACCGAAAACACCTCAGGCTTGTTTAAAGAGCACCGTCTGCACAGGCCCCTGGTTCCTGACGCGCGCAGCCAAATGCTGAAAGGCATGGACGAGCTGGATTCTCAACAAAGCATGCCGGAGGGCGTGAACCAGTTCACCTGGGATCAATTCTGTCTTTTACGCAAAGCGAAAGTGGAGAGCGAACTACAGGTAAAAATAATAATAAAAAAATTAATAAAATCAGGTCACAGAAAGGCAAGTAAATATCCTGCAAATCTGTTTTTCATTACACGAGTCAAACAGGGTGACTTAAATATTGACCCAGCTTTCAAACTGTCTTTTATTTGATTCTGTGTGTAAAAATAGTTATGTGGAGCTTATTGTTGCAGGTCCAACTGAAAGCCCTGACTCTTGCCGAGATGCAGGCCTTCCTGCAGAGAAGGAACGATGAAGCCAATGCTGCCCAACAGGAAATTACAAACTGCTCCGAGGAACTTCAGAGGTACAAASCAAAAGCTGACAAAGTTGCCCTCAAGTCACTTTTCAATCTCTAAACAAGACTTGGGTTTGAACAACACTCTCCCGCGTGTTGGCTGTCTGCAGGCTGCACAAAAGGAGGAACGATCACCTGATAAACACGAGGGTCCAAATCACGCTGAAGCAGGGCCAGGTGGAGGCGTTAACCCCYGACCCGACGGCCGGCAGCACGGACGCCGACTTCCTTCTTTGCCACAAAAGCAGGATAGACAACCTCAGAGAAGAAATCAGGGTCAGCCTGGACAACCAGACACTTTTCTTTGTTTCAAAAAAATATTTCCCCTTCCATACTATGAATTTCTTTTTGGAAAAGAAATGTGCCAACATTCACCTAATACTATACTAACAGAAAACAAGTTTGTTTGWTTTTTTGCCTGTCTTTTCAGGAACTTGTGGAAGACAAGATCGCTTTAATAGAGAGGCACAAAGACGTCCGTAGGAAGACAAAGCAGATGAAGTGGAAGCTGAAGGTGCTCAGGAACAAAATACAAGACCTCAAAGACACGGAGAGGAACATCAAGATGCTGCGACTCTCTGAGCAGCAGCAGGATATGAAAGTAATTCAGTTTCTAAACGTTRGAATTATTTCCCAAAWGCTCTAACTTTGGTTATTTCCTTTACCAAAAASAAAAAATAAGTAGGTCCTCTGGATGGGTTCTTCTTTAGTGAAACGTTTCGTCTCTCCTCTAAGAGACTTCTTCAGTCTGATGAGTTTCAGGTGACGATGCACGTTTTTTTTTCTTCATGTGAAGAAAAAAAACGTCCACCATTAAACAGAGGTGGAGGCCTTCGTGTCCAGTTGTCCTCCTCCTACAATGCTGTCATTGCAAGTATGACTCGGACCCCTGTGAGCAAACGGTGTGAATCAGGGCCCCAATGATACCAACACAAAGAGGGAGAGAGGGACAAAAGCAAAGGGACGTTGAACCCCCGCTTGCATTCACTACATTCACATAACACGACACGGGTCAGGTGATGGGGCATGTGATCCTCTATGAATCATAGAGCCAATCAAGCCTATTGTTAGTCAAAGGTCCTATTTTGCATGTGACTAACCTGTTTGTCCATGTAGAGGACACTAAAGAAGAACCCATCCAGAGGACCTACTTATTTTTTCTTTTTGATTTTTTTCTACCTGGATTACTGAGATGCATCAGGACAATTATGTCCTTTACATATGTGTATTTACTAGATTTAAAGTTTAAAAAAATTTAAAAACAGGTTGAAGCAAAATAAACTCTCTGCAGTTGGGTTGAAATGTTAATCTGGTTAGCGTGCCTGGCCAAGACTCCTGTCTGCAATCTGCAAGGCAGGTATTTTGGTTTTGGCAGCGGCAGATGTTTTGCGAGCAGAAAATTGTTACCATCTCTCAGTGCAGATGTGTAATCTTTTATAGAACGCTCACGCCCCTTCATCCTCACTTGCCTCACCCCCACAAACATATAAAAATTTACCCAATAAGCAAGTCAAAACATTTATTTTCCTTGATTYGATTCTAAAACATTTGTTGAGTCTTGTTTATGTCTTTAAAAAATAATGTGATTCATTTGGCTGCAAATCAAAAGCAGAAAAAGGCCTTTTAATTAAATAGACAAAGGGATATTCACCCATTTTGTTCTTATCAAGAGTCTAAAATGAAATGTTCAGACATGAATACAAATTAWAAAGCATGTGTTCTGGGATTGTTATGCCAGTTTCCTTTGGCAAAAGGTGGCTTCTAATTTCCTGACATTGTTAAAGCCCCTGAACCCATGTGAGAGGAAAGTTTGAATCTAAATAAATCTACCCCTAGGGATCCCAAGCACTTCCTGTTGAACAGTTTTAACACACCGATTGTGAGTTTTTAATAAACAAATAAATAAAAAATGAGCAGGAGTCTGACAGAGCACATTTATCTGCTTCCCAGCTGTTTTATTTTTTTTTTTTTTTTCTCAGTACTACAGCCAGAAGGAACAAGCTCAACACATGTCCAAGCAAATCTCCAGCATGGAAGAAAGCATAGCTCGGATGAAAAACGTAACAACTTAATTTGCATCAATGAGCTCTACATTTTTTTTCTTACTTTTTAATATGCATCAATACAACAATCTACTATTTCAGATTCATCAAAAAAAGGTGCAGCAATGCCAGAAACGGATCAGACAGATTAAACAACAGGCGGCAGAGAAAACAAAAAGCACCGAGACTTTAGAGCGGCAGCTCCCTGACCTACAGGCGACTGTTGCAGAGCTGACGGACACCTGTGGTTTGGCAGGTAATAAAAAAAAAGCCACTTCGGCTACAAGCAGTGCGTTCTTTTTCCTGCTTTTACCGACAGCTCGTCTCTTTTGTCGTTTTAGCCACTGAGGAAAACGTGGCGGCTGAAAGAGAAGAGCGCTACCAGGAGATCCTTGTGAGGAGGAAGTGGAAGGAGACCGCCATTTCTCAGGCGGAGGAGCTGTTTCTCCTTGGCGAAGAAGTGGAGCGTTTGAGAAGGAAGAACTTCGTCTCCCTCGATGAGCTGAACCACGACTGACRTAACATGAAACATTACAGTACATCAGCTGAGAACAAACAACTAATAAAACTTTCYTGAAACATTGCACCCGTGAGAACGTCTCTAGTGGTTTGGTGAAGTGTCGTGTTGCCTAACGGTGYGGTGTGAAGTCGTCCTCGCAGCGGTCGAAGTGCAGAATGCTGTCGCCCAGGCCGAAGAGGTCCATCAGCTCGGACAGGTTGGCCTTTCGTCCATCGATGGAGACGCCTGACTGGAGCTCGTACAGGGCAGCCTGAGCACAACTACGCCACTTGTTGATCAATATTTGGAGCTGGTTTAAATCATTCTGAGAAAAAAGAATAATAGTAACTAACACGTCACCATTTTTCTCAGTAAATATATTACTAGAGGTGCTAATGACATGAAATTTTCACCAGATGTCGGTAACAACCCAAGTGATCCATACATAC